CTACTCTCTCTCTCTCTCTCTCTCTCTCTCTCTCTCTCTCTCTCTCTCTCTCTCTACATCCTACGAGTAGATTTACATGTCTCTTTTGCATATTGGGCTCACGATATCGAACGATGTTAGAGCAGTTGAGGAGGAAAACTCCCCACAAAACCATGAGCGAGAGCGGGTGGGTAAAGACCATGGTCCGTCGAAAAGAAGCTTAGTCAGGAGGTAAGGTGAGGGCCAAATCTGCACATCATGAGGCAATGGGAATCCATTCATATCAGAGGAAAAGGAGAGCATCAATGCCACACTGCAGATTCCTGTTCTTTAGCATGAGAGGACTGATTCCATAGAAAAGAAGTCGTTTGATTATTCATTCACCTGCCATGGATGCCACATATGCCTTGTCATCTTCTGTAAGTGTGAACAGATAGACATACTGGTCAAGCGAAAACCTTAGGGTTGGAAAACTTTGGAATAACCTGTCCTCTTCCTTCCATCATCTCACACCTTCCACAGCCGTGCTTACTACTTCACACAAATGTCCGATGACGATTGGGGTGAGCATGGAATGAGTTGGTACTTAAATCCATAGCCACACCGCCCAAATAATATATCTCCAATTTATGTGATTCTAGTCCGCTTAGTTAGATGTCAGTCAAAGATATCTCGGTTTTCCCAACCCCATTCAACCCAGTCGGTCAAATTATGTTGTTGACGCGAACCCACCAACCGGATGATCATAAAAAGAAAGAAAATTAATCTAATTTCACACCGTCTCACTGATCTGAAACATATCATCGTCTATATTGTTTATCACCGTGAATTGACTTGTAACAGAAACAAGGTCTCCGACCAAATCAATCGATTTAGTGCCAGCATTGGATTTAAAGATCGAGTCCGGGTTCTTTTTTTTTTTTAATTGGCTCGAGCTTTCAAAGTAGTCAAAAATAAAAAAGGTAAAATTTTCGTATAGATACCTAATATTTACTTTGAGCAACTCTCATTTTGGTTGTCTTTGTCGGATGAATTATTCATCCAGATGAACACAATCTGAGCCTTAAAGGTATATTTGCTTGTTCGAGGTGAGATGTAAAATAAAAATCTTATAATGATGGACACATACATAATATGAGCGACTGGAGAGTCCCAAAAGAGTCTACAAGAATGTTGACTCTCAAAAGGGGAGACTAATCCAATAAAAGCTAGTCAGTCGGACTCGCAGTAACAACACAATACCATCGAAACGTAATCCTTTTGGCATACACAACCAGCCTCACAGTATGCAAAATATCTACAAGTTCTCAAGTCTGCTGACCATTATTTTTCCACATTTCAAGACAGCTAATAATGAGAAAAAAAAAATTTCTTAAGCAATAGCAGGAGACAGGAACTGAAATAAAAAAGGGCAAGGGAAGGAGGGGGTTTAAAGTTTAAACCATCAGCAGTTCCCACAGCAAGGTTGAACCACCTTCAGTTCAGTTGGTAGCATATTTCTGGGTCCAAGTGCGGGCTGTTGTCTCATACTTGGCTCTGTCAGTCTTGTACATGTGAGCAATCTCCGGAACAAGAGGGTCGTCAGGATTTGGATCCGTCAACAAAGAGCAGATTGACAGCAGCACCTGACCAACAAACATTATTCCACAAGGAGAGGCCCACACAACATACTTTGCCTAAATTATTCTCAATTATGCTAGATAAGAAAAAATGTTGACATAGTTTAGTTTTAGCAGTGGCTGAAAGTTTAAGGTGAAGAAATAGGTTGTTAACAAACTTTGACCAGGGTCTCCGGTTCAAGTGAAGCGGAGGATGCTCATGCAAACCAAATCAGGTTTCAGTTTGAAAATATCTGAACAAGGATAAAGGTCGGGAACCACTTGAAATTCAAAATTTGAAGGCTCTGCTATTTGCTCCTACCACATATTTGACTCCTAACTAAAACTAAAACTAAACTTGATACTAATTTGAGCTCCTTACTCTCCTAAACTTCATTCTGTACTCCCAACTTTACCCACAGTGACATGTCAAAATTATGAAACCATTAGACAAACTACAAAGGCAGATTGGTTTTGAACCTGTGATAGTTTCACAAACTCTACAACCAACCTACAGTAACTGACCACCAAATCTAACCCAGCTTACAACATTTAGCTTCTCTACATCTTAAACAAGCTTACAGTATCTGGTCATAATATCATTACACAGGTCAACTTCCACAAAGAATGATGATTAGTAGTAAGAAAGTTTGGAGTAGAACTATTAAAAATGTTGAAACCTCATCCAAAATGCATCCTATTTGATATTTTTATTACTACAGTTTATGTACATCGATTAGGAATACGGTTTTTATGTGTGTGTATGTTATATACAATGGCTACCCTCCGAAGAGCACACCTGCGATTACTCAGTCCATTTTCAACCTTCATTAGTTGGTGCTCTCTCCCAATCTCCCTACCCTACAACCATCCATTCCCCAAAAGAACACAAAATAAATAGGGAAAAAACCGCCCCTGCCATATGATCCAAGCAAGAAAACAGTCATTTGTGATCTGGCAATCAGCTGCCAATCTAACAAATCATCGGATAAAACATGGGAAGTTTCTGTATTGTACAATTTTCAGGGCAGAAAGTCGCCCACCTTAATTTCATGTATCAACGAATTGGTTTAACAAATTGTTAACATGTTAGCTATCATTATTCTAGTTAAGGCTGACTGAATTCAGTTCAGATTTATTTTTGAACAAAGGTAACTCATCCAAAATCAAATCCTGGATGGGCCCAGGCTGAAACAATCAGATATTTTGCGAGTTTAAAAATAAAAAACAAAATAAGTTTATGAAAAGACAATCTGAGTTGCAACCACAGGAAGCAAGTCATACCTTGGAAATGGTTAGGGCAGGGCTCCACTGCTCTTTGAGGATATCCAAGCAGATGCTCCCGTTGCTGTTGATGTTTGGATGGAAGACTTTCGTCTTGAAAGAAACCTGCAGCATTAATCGAAGTATTCAACATGGATGGCTAGCAGCTATGTTAAAAATGACAAGTAGATACTTGTGTAATTGATCAAATAAACTGTTATCCAAATATCCAAACATCACTGAGCAAGTAACCAGCATTCAGGGTTCCAGTTCATACAAATCACATCTAGAAACTTCAATTACGGGAAATAAGCAATAAAAATAAGCAAGAGCACCTTCCTAGGTTGACCGTGACCATGCAGAACCACATGCTACAAAATTATTATCCGCCTATGGTTGTCACCGTCCAACTATACCATGGCAGTTCCATTTTATCCATATGAAAAACGCATGAATGTAAGGGTAAGCAAATGCCACATTTAAACAATATCAGCTCTTCTGCCACAAGTAAAATGGAAAACATGTTAGTGAAAACCAGACAGAACTTGATGCACGCTGTGATTGTGTTGGTAACAGTCAGAGCCTTGCAATCAGTTTTACCATGAGACTTGGCTTGGAATGTAACTCAGCGGCTGTAAAGGAATTGTCTACTTCCTGATCCTTAAAATGGCAACAACCATAATTTGTCATTACATGAAGTTGTGATCCTCATGTCCTTAATTTGGCAGCACATATTTCCAACAGTGCCAACTCAAAGAACACCAAGAACATACTCCATGATGTATCCCACCCTTAAACACTTGTATTTCAATGAGTCATTATTAAGTTAAACAGCAAAGCAATGAATTTAAATGCGGGGTTAAATGTTATCTCATAAAGAGGGTGCAGACACCTACATGAACCAACCACAATGTCTAATGCAATTGGAAAAATGCATCAAAGAGTGGTCTACAAAGTACTCGCTAAGCCTGAAGTGAAATCTCAAGTTTGGTTGTTTCAGATATTTTTTCACTAGATGAATTTTCTAACTTAAAGACCAATCAATAAATTGTTACTTGGAGAATAAAAGGTCTTAAAATTTATGGAGGTTTGTCCAGGGTTAAACCCTGATATGAAAAAATTTCACAAAAAAATATTGAAAATGTGCAGTGAGGGTCATGCTGAAAAAAAGGTCACTGAATGTACTTCTTATTTTTACATCACATAGCATGATGTAACTCTTCAGTAAATGGCAAAAGCTATGATTGCTATATTTAAACTGATTCTAATATATCTACAAACTGTATTCGCTATCGATTTCATTTAAGCTAGGAAACTCACCAAGTTCAACAAGTAACAACCTCAACTTTAGATAGGTTAAAATTTTTCCAACCTTAGCAGATACTCAGAAACATAGTATATTATCTACACCATGACACTACAAACTAAACTACATGCAAGTGACAAAAGAACGAGAAAGGTATGAAAGAGATTTTTGCATCATCACCTGAACTTCATTTTAAATATATACATAGAACATAATTGGAGCACTCAAGACTTTCTTCCAGGATAGTATATAAAGGAGTTGTGAGCCAAAAGATCATTTTCAAGTGCATAATTTAATATACAAAATTACAAAATCAGAAAAACTGAATCTTTTACAGGAGAAAGCATCTTGCCTTTGGTGGTTTGAAGGGATAATCTGGAGGAAAGTGAATGTTCACCAGGAAAATACCTCCAGCATAAGGACTATCAACAGGCCCCATTATAGTAGCTTGCCAATGGTACATATCTTCTCCTAATGGACCTGAAAAAAAAATTAAAATAGCATTTTGGATCACTAGTGTGTTCGCAAGAAAGATCTAAATTACTACAAAATTGGTATTTGTATTTCCATTCAAGGAACTAGAACTAATAAAGCTCAGATTTGACAACAAAATTTGATTAGAATGAATTTGTACGATTGATAACAAATTACTTATTGTGAGACTAAAATATATACATGCACCAAGTGCATCACTTTTGCAAACATATTTACCTAGAAACAACAAACATGCTAAGTCTTTCCTTTGACAGATTATTTCAGGCCACCCTTAGGGCCTTAGAATCCAAAATAGAATAATCACCACTTCTCATATATGAAGTATCAAAATTAATTCAGACTATATATGCATGAAAGAATCATATTGCTGAATAATATTCAAGAGACTTAAATGAAAGGAGTGTATGTTTGGTTTTGGAACTTCTTGCCCTATCCCTTTTCCATCCCAGTATGTCAAATGGATACCCAATCTAAATTCCAAATCAAACAGTGACTAGTCTGTAAAAACACTCAACCAGAATGGGAAGTCCTTTCTAATAAATTACAACTCAAAACTTTTTCATGAAAACTGAACATGCATAAGAATACATATCTCAACCTTCTCTTTTCCACACTATATTATCGTTGGCCTAGCTCAGACTTAAAGTAGTTGTTCATAAGATTTTAAATCAATAAGGGGTTCAAGAGACTTTGGTCTGCTTCATTCATATAACTTCATGAAGGAATACAAAATCAAACTTGGAATATATACTTGATCTAGTTAACAGTGAACAGATGTAAGTGAACAAGGATCTTATGCTTTTCTCACAGGAAGTCGAACCATTTTGATCATCTAAATCTTTTCCCAATTCTCAATATATACTTGAAGCATTTGTTATGTTGACAATTTACCGTTGTCATGATCACACAAAAAGGAATTTAAGGAAAAAAGGTTTTTATCATAAACTCATCAAGAAAGAAAGAAAAAAATGCAAAAGACACAATCCACACACAAAGCACCCAATCAAACAATAAGAAGGTAGTCAGTTTGTACCTGCACTGCATGAGACAGGAGGATCATTCTGCAAATCCTTCAATTCCTTCAAAATACGCTTTAATGCCATCTTTTACCTTTAGATGGAATAGGATTTTAATAGAATGAACACATTTCAAATGATAAATCATTAAAGGAAAAAAAATCAATTCTAAATTTCATTAAATTTGCAACTTAACAGACTAAAATTCAAAATATCATAATCCAACTCACACAAAAGTTACTAAACAAATGCACAAAAAACTATTCATACTCCGAGGTCTTTACAAGTTCTCAACCGCCAGGATAGAGATGCACCAATGGCACACCATGATACGTATCGACCCATGGCCGAGCCCAATCATAAATTCACAAGTACTTCATCAAAAAACATAAATCACATATTCGAAGTCATACCCACTGACTGATCGTGTAATTATAATGAACAAAAATGTACTATCCTCTGTTGCATCCAGTTGATTGTGAATCCAGATCTTGTTAGATTTTCTTCATATATATACATATACAACAAAGATTTTAACAATTAAGAATAAACAATAATATCACACCACAGGAGCAGCGAATTAGTACAAACATGCCATGATCCCCTAGGTAGCCAAAAGAATCAGAAATATATATATATATATATATATATATATATATATATATATATATATATATATATTATCGTCGCAAAAATAACATCTAGAAAACCCTAAACCGCTACTCCACGGAGAAAGAAGACGGGAAAAACTAGATGGTCCCGGCAGAAACAAAGACAAAGTGAAATCTAACAACTCTCGACAGATGATCCCTGCCGACCATGAAAGCAGATAAAGAATCACAAGAAAACGAGTAAAATATTTGTCGGATAAGATAATCCGCAAACATTCTGTGAAATCATAGCACATTGCTGCATGACATCGAACCGAGAGCAAGACAAGAAAACGTTCCGTCTCGATCAAATCACACGGGTTTCCAGACCAACAGAGATGGAAACCAAAAGAGAAAAGCGACAACCCAATCCAATGAGGAAGACGAAGAAGAAGGCGTCTTACCGCTTCGAGGAAGATGAAGAAGAAGAGAGCTCCGCGCCGAACGAGGTTTGGGAGGAAGATAGGGACGGGATAGAGAACCGCCCCGTAATGCCCTTTATAATAGCGGTCGCACGCGAGCACTAAGCCATAAAAGGAAGGAAATCAAACAGACGATGCTTCTCGAAGGTGCAGACTCAAAGTGCACGAGCCACTTATATCGCGCAAAGGTTTCGCCGCAGAAAAATCGCATGCGGTGCTGTGAGGGCCGACCTTTTGCATGAGCATCCATATCCATCATAGCGGATCGGGTTCCTTTTGATCCGTTTACACCAAGCCCGAATCCGCTGCAAGTTTTTGGACAGAATTACATAAATAAATATTATCTAGATATGATATTTTTTAGATATAACTTTTCTCTATTTGAGTCCTAACTCGATTTAGTTATTTGGGCATGATTAATTCTTTTAATATTTAAATTTTATTAGCTTCAAAATTAGGTAAGAAACTGAAATGCTAATCTTAAAATAGGATAAAGGTAAAAAGTAAAGTCATATATATAAATAAATATTTGAATTTAATTCATTTCAATTATCTAAGATTAATGTTAATCGAGTTCATATTATAATAAGATAAAAATTTATGGATATTGATGAATATTTTTATATAATAAATAATTTCCATTATCATAAATCTGCCAAAACCTTTATTATTATTATGAAGTAACCAATATATTTACTAAGTTTAACATAAATCATCTCCTACTATTACACTATTAAATAACAATGGCATTGGGTTAATTTTTTTGCCTGTATTTTACTAGATTCGGTATCTTCTAATCTGAGTTTGGACATTCAAAATACAGATTGCCGAATTCCTAATCCCAAAGGGTAATAAGTGATGGCATGATTTAAACATGAAGCCTACTAATAATGAGGCAAAGTAAAACACTGCATCCAATACTTCAATTAAAGTCTCACTCAGTATCTCATCTGTACAACACAGTCACGATAAAAGAAAAAAGAGAGAACAAAGATGCAGGACTCAGCTTCAAATTGTTTCCAAAGGCTTTACATATCTTGTCAGATCTCCAATAATTGGGATGAAAGAACACTACCACTTCTGGTCAATCCTGAATCAATAGCATCGGTGCCTGATCTCTCATGGTCTCCATGGGGCCGGCGGTGGCGGAGGAGACGGAAACATCGGCGGAACCGCAGAGAATATAGTGTTCTTGTCTACTCCAGTGCTCTCACCGGACAAGGCCACCAGTGCGGCAACTAAACCGGCATTGCCTGCAAGTGTTGGCTCGGTGTAATTGTAGTTGGTCCGAATATCATGGAACCCATCGTGCTTATCAGGGCCGGCAACCATCGCACCAATGATCGTGTTTGGATTCGGCTTTTTAGTGTCCCTCCACTTCCATCCTCCTTTGCAGTTGTACTTTACCCCATTCTTGGGAATTGAAGCACCTCGATGATGAACATGCTTAGGGTATCGCTGACCAAATCCCACAACATAGCTCATCTTTTTTGGATTTTTACCTAAAATATAATCGATCTGCAAAGGAGAAGACAAGAGAAGCATAGATTTAAGACTGAAGCCTAGAAACAGTTGGTGCAGGTGAAACACATCCTGCGTATGAGAACGAACCTGAGTCCGTGCAAAATCACGTAGAGCACCAGTAGGGAAGAAATTAGGACCACAGTACCATCCTGGAGTATCAGCTGCTTCAAGATAGTCACTGTACAATGATGCAAGGAAAGCTGCATTGACTACATACTGAAGCGGCTGTGGTCGCCCATGATTTAGTTGAATCAAACCACCTGTTCAGGATATGAGCATGAGAACCTCACTAAGAGAAACAATAAGGTAAATTACAAACAAATGTCTCAAACCTTTTGTCCGGTTGAAAGAGTTAAAAACTGGTAGATATGAGCACATGATGATGCCAGTCTGGTTATGGAAAGTTCTAAGCATTTCTTCATATGGGTACCCTGGACTTAGGAACAGCCTTAATCTACTAAGAAGTACCTGGACACATGAAAGAGACAATAAGCTCATTAGAGTCATGTAAGAAATCAAACTTACTATGAGCATGTGGCTGTTGCAAGCTTGATTCGCTTTCACTTAACGAAACACTCTTATATTAGCATCACAGTAGCACCAATTCATCCAGCCAAGATTTCTATCAGGGGTAAGCATGCATTGTTAGAGTCATGTAAGAAATCAACCTTACTATGAGCATGTGGCTGTTGCAAGCTTGATTCGCTTTCACTTAGTGAAACACTCTTATATCTACCTAGCATCACGGTAGCACCAATTCATCCAGCCAAGATTTCTATCAGGGGTAAGCATGCTTGATGCTTAAAAATTTAACGGAAGATTCTAACAGGAATAAGCATGTGTACTATTAAAAATTAAAGGAAAATGACACCAGAAATAGAGGAGATTGATGAGTAACCTCGGAGATAAGATAGGCTTCTTCACAAGTTCAAAGCAACTTTGAGTTCTATAGTGACATTTGATCAGAATAAGATGTAGCTTCCCCAATTTATAAGACAAGTGAGGCAATCACATCTCCTTACTAATGGTTAAATAGTGTTCTTAGACTACAATACATTTCCTTACTACTAGCCATTGCAAAATAGTCACTTTCCTCAACCTAATCTAAATCAACTACAAACAAATACCAGTTACTAAAAATTACTGAAACTTACTATGCAAAAGAAAACTAGTAATCATTATATATCACAGTATGAACAGGAACCACAATTGCTTGGATAGGGAAAGTAATAAGATACATCTGAAAACAGAAAAATAATAGTCATCAAATGCATGTAAAAGCTATAATGATTAATTTTTTAATAAAAGATGATTTTAAATATAGTTGTCTGTCATATGCACTACCTTCACATCCTTCATACTTTTATATATAAGTTCATAAAACATTAAAAAGTTCTACCGGTCATACAAGAGCAAATATCTACATGGTCAGCAATCTGTGTGTGATACTCGACAATGTGAGGGGTAATATACACAGCTAAGCGATAGAAATGCATTATATGGTTATTTACAATTCCAGCAAACTTACGAGTGTTTCTATGCAGAGATAGGATATGGTTTTATACTTGAAATTATTAGTTGGGTCTAACTGAATGGATCAATTAAGTTTTAAAAAATTCTACAGGAACAAATTTTATTCACTTTTACATTATCATTTTGTTCATGGTGTATGAAAAAGAGCTTAACCCATGGGAACAAAATGTTCCTGTCAAGCAAGCACAAGATTACTGTAACAGTGAACACTGAAGGTCAACGCTGAGTACTATTCAGAAGTTTGTCTAACAGAAAGGTTTCCTAATCACAAATGGAATGGATATGACCTGTCTATGTTTAAAGAAAAAATAGCAGAACTCAACATAGCCAACCAAAATTCTACATTGTAAACCTAGTTGGACAAGCCAAACATTATCTGGTAATCTACACAAAATCTATAAACAGATGAAGAATATCTGAAAGTGGCATCAAATTCTCCAAAAAAAGAAGCATCAACTATATAGTTGTCACTCACTTGAGCACCAGTGAGCTTGTTGTCCCAGCTTAGAACTCCATAATCTGGACCACCCCAAAACGCACCAGCATGCTTGGCAAGTTTGGGATGAGTAGACAACTGAAGGTAAGATGAATTGCCTGTTGCAAGATACATCCATGCTCCACCCCAAACAAATTCATCCCAGTAACTAGTCGAATTGTAAAAGACGGAGGCATCGGATCCTCCCTCACTGTACCGCCCCCTCTGTTCCCTCGCAAACTTCCAAAGTGTGGCAGCGCCATGGACCAGCTTCTGAGAGTAGGCCTTGTTGTCCTTGAACACAATGGAAGCCGAAGCCAAAGCTGCAGCCATCTCAGCCGTGAGATCTGAGCAACTGTGGCAAACATAGACCGGTCGCGGGTAGTCGATGTCCTCTGGCCTCGTCCAACAGTAGTGGTCATTTGGATTTGTTCCTCCTGAAGTGGCCCCTTGCCCAACCTGTAAAACATCACACGTATAATGAT